ATACACACACACGCGCGCACACATACAGTACTTTGGCCATGCCAACTAGCCAAACTTGTAGCCACAGTGCCTGCCAGCTGGGTATTTGAATACTGTGTATATTTACTGAGTTCCTCAAAGAGGAAACATTGAAATCCTGTGATGCCAAATGTACTGTTAATACTGCTGTCAGTTACGAGATAATAATAATAATCCTTGCATTTAATATAGCGCTTTTCACATCTTCTAGACGTCTCAAAGCCCTTCACAGAATATACTGTAAAGTGAATTGACTGTATATTTGTGGGTGAAAAGCGCCAGCCACTTGTGCACAGCAGTGTCCCACAAACAGTCGTGGATTGAAGTGATCAATTTATTATTTTCTTTTTTTTTCTTGAGGGATTATTATCAGGCGTGTGGAGTAAGCAAACTTGCCCAAAGTTTTGCCTGGCCGGGAATTGAACCCAGGTCTCTTGCTTGCAAGGCGAGCGCTCTAACTACTGAGCTACAGGACTCATACAGAGGTACATGCTGTAGCCACATGAGCAGGACAAACACTGCCTAATAGTTGCAGAAAGTCATGATCTGTGGGTGTATGAAGATAAATCTCTCTTAATGTAAAACATAAAGTTTAGCAAAATACATTTGATGAGCACCAGAAATATGGGAAGGAATGGCTTGAGCTTGTTGATAGTTAACAAGTCGGTTACCAATTGATCATTTTTTAACTTGATCCCATCAGTGTTGCCCTTTATGATGTGTATCTTGCTGTGGGTATGTGCTGACTTCCCAGATAGATTGCGATCCAGACAAACGTTCTCATTTTGCTTGACACGCAAGCCTTCCTCTACACACTTCTAAATATCATAAATTTGTAGTAGAATAAATAATGCATTGAAGCATTATCTGTGTTTAATGATAGTTTTCTCCAGTTGCAGTAGAACTGTTGATTTTTGGCTGGGTGTCAGATTACCAGCCTCAACATTGATCAGCAAAACTTCAGGTTCACAGGAAATTCGAGTTTTATCTGTGGCCTCAACAGAGATAATCACTGTTGTCTAATCAGAACATATTCGGCTTCATGTAGCAGCAGCTAGACCGTTTGACAATTTGATCCAATTTCATGAAAGTTAAAGACCCCAAAACTGAAACTAGTGAATGCAGCACAATCTCCTATCTGAGATAATCCAATTTCTCACATTCCTGACACATTTCAAGGTATGTCCATAAAGAATCAGGCATCTGGAAACTTCTTCCCTATCTAGGAAATCCAGCTCCTTCAGCTGCTGATCTAGTCACCCCTGTCGGCAATCAACTTGCGTATTAACCCTTTGTACTATCCCTAAGCTGTGAATGCTATGCTTCTCTCCCCCCACCCACATACACACATTGTCTCTGCATTGCACATTGTCTCAAAGTAAAATCAACATGGAGCATATTTGGCTAAAATACTGCCTCTGATGTGATTAATTAGGTTGCAGTTGGGATATAAACAATTTGGATATAAACTTTTCAGAGTTTTACAATTGTGCAATATCTGGTGTCAGAATGTCTCAAGTGCTTTCCCACAACAACATTGTTATACTGTATATAGCTCCTTTCATGTTAAGAGGGCATCTCAAAGTGCTTCACAGAATCTGCTAACAACACCTCCTCTTTCTTAACGGCTTGGAAGTGGGGAAACAAAGTTCACAAACAAAGTGGTGGACACTGAAACATCAGCACTGGCTTATCTGAGCTTCCACTTCCTTCTCATTCTATTCTACAGAAGCTAGAGTATAAAATTGTCATCAGAAAAAAANTCTACTTTATGCAGAGGCATTGCTTCAGATTGATAGAATTAATTCTACCAGTTTAACTGCCTGACTCCCCTTGTAAGATCATTGCTTCCTTCTGCGAGCTGCATGAAATGCCTTTTTTATGTCACCAAATCAATGTATGTAATCTAATTATCATGCATTTCTGCCGCACTTTCATGTTGGGGCTCTGGAATTTTAGTCAGTTGCTGGGGGGTGGGGACAGAGTGATCCAATGTGGTGCAGTAACTACAAGATCATTCTTCCCTTGGCCAATAGAGAAGCTGATCCTAATATATTTCTTTTCCTATATATTTTTCCTTTCCAGGTTCCCCTTTTTTGGTTCTCCCATAGCTATTTGTTTTATTTCTCTCTGTTGCTGTCCATTTCTTAAACTTTTGCTTCTCTGCATTTCTTAACTTTTATCGTCTCTATGAAGTGCTCTGAGTTGCCGTCCAGGGTGAAGGGTGCTATATAAATGCAAGTTGTTTTGTTGCTGAACTTCCTTTTGCATGCATCTGGCTAAATAAGTCCAAGTTCTTATGATTATAATAAAATAATAATTCATAATCCTTGACATTTGATATAGTGTCCTTCACATCAGTAGGAGGTCTCAAAGGGTTTACTCTGTAAATTATTATGTGCAGTTCACAATGCGTAAAGAGGTTGGGTCAAATCATCAGAAGCTGAGTATTGCTCAGGCGTGAATTGGCAAGCACCTGCCATCAGAAAAGAGTTTCTTGACTTTTGTTCATAACATATACAATATATCCTATGCTGGTGGGGCACCTGGTGAATGCACTTCATGGTGTGGAATTGAACTATACAGTTCCACACCATGATTGATTGAGCTGATTTCACTTGGAGCAGTGGTTATAGTGCTGCAATTGGCTTCCATGTCTCAACGTGAGAAAAAGCACTGTAGCTCTAGCTCCTGATAACTATTCAGTCACTCCTGTGGTGCAGACATTGGTTTCAGCTAGGGCTACCTCTGTGGATCAGAGTGAGGTATTCATGGTTATTGTTCCCTGATTAAAGTTACACCTTTCCACCAGTAGCATAAAGTATCTACAGCATTTTGCTAGTCTATGCAATAAAGATCCTTGCATTTTATATGCACCTATTGCATTGTTGAGATATTGTTTACATTATTTAGTACCATTCATATTGGGAAACCGTTTTGGAATGCTTTATGTGGCTTGGCTGGGCACCCGAACTGCGGATGACTTTCTCTAATAAAGCAGTTCTCTTTCTCAGGGCCTTTAACGTGCAATGGTTTCTGAGGTATTATATCTATGTAGTGAAGTTGACTTCAATAGACTGACCTGAAAATGGGGCTCCTTACAATAACCATGAATACCCCACTCTGATCCACAGGCTGGACACTTTAACCCAACGTTTCTGCAGGTCAATGGAATCTGTCAACTAATCTCCAAAATCAAACCCCATAAACTATTTTATTAAAACGTCACTTCTTGTGCTTGTGGTCACACCTGGTCTGCATTTACTAGTCACTGAGAAAACAAAGCCCCATTCTGTTAATGAAGATCGATTTCCTGAAATGAATTTGCTGAAGTTGAGTTTTAAAGCCTTATTTTCAAGGGAACTCCAGACATGATCTGGCTATTGGCTCCATCTGCTGGCTGATGGAGCAGTTGAGTGATTTGTAAGCACTTTTGTCAGAATCATTATAGTGTACAGCTCAAGTAAAAATATCCTGCACAAACGGTCTCCTTTGCTCTCAACAATGTTTTCATTTTCACTTTTACTTTAATTGTGGCAGATTCTTCTTTTTCCCCCCATGACGATGAAACAACAACAAACAATTTACATTTGCGAAGCGGCTTTCCTGTCAGGAGGATGCGTCAAAATGTTACGCACAACTGGCTGTGTATTTGAGATACAATAATAATAATCCTTCCATTTAATATAGTGCTTTTTACGTCTTCTAGACGCCTCAAAGTGCTTCACAGAATATACTGTAAAATGAATTGACTGTATATTTATGGACGAAACACGGCAGCCACTTGTGCACAGCAGTGTCCCACAAACAGTTGTGGATTGAATGACCAAATTATTATTATTTTTTTTCTTGAGGGATTATTATCAGGCATGTGGAGTAAGGAAACTTGCCCAAAGTTTCGCCCTGCCGGGAATCAAACCCAGGTCTCTCGCTTGTAAAGCGAGTGCTCTAACCACTGAGCTACAGGACTCCTGTGGTGGGGTGGTAGGATAGAAGCTGGGAAGGGTTGGTGGTGGGGCGGAGATGACAAAGTGCAACAGTAAAAATAGGAATGAAAACCAATCTTTTGAACCAATAACCTTTACTATTGGGGATACTATTAACAATGTTATGTGCAATTCAGCTATAACTAGAAATCAACACAATGGGGTGAAATTTGTAGCCTTCAGTAATTTGTGCTAATTATTACAAGTAACATTTTAGAATTCTGCAAATTTCTTTTTTATTATCACTGCAATAACTTACAAGTCAAATCAGCACCGCTGCTGAAATCACAACATTGATGTGAGTACATGAGCACTTTAATAAATTGACTGAAACAGGTTACCAGGAAGGATGATTGAGGCCAGGACGCGAGACTCATTTGAAAGTTGATGCTATGGTGGTAGGTTGGGTATTCTTGAAAGAGGAGTCTAACTCATCTGAACCAATCTTGTGACTGAGGCCGCATATTTTATGAAGCATTTATAAAACATTTAAAGGGCAGACCAGTCACTAGAGGCAGGGAGTCATTCCACTCAGCCCTGTTGCCCTGCAAACCAAAGCCCTAATGGGTAGGGTGTTCCTAGCTGGACAAGCAGTGGGAAAGCTTGCCGGACAGCAATATCAATGGCAAGCTATGTGGTTTTAGCTGGTTAGACTCCAGCAGTAGCCCCAATCCACCCTCTGGCGTCTCCAAACCTTGGCTCTTGCCAACCTGCACCAAATACTTTCCGGAATAAGGTAATCAGGATGTGTTCCTCCAGGGAGGGAGTGTGTATTCCATTCCAACAATCTATCTCTAGGATTTCCATGTGTAGGTGGGATACATGGAAATCTCAGCTTGGTTTCGATAATCTTAAACATGGTGGTTGGTTTCAGCATGTGTCAGACACCTGGCTCAACCCCCCAAAAAAAAGCATGTTTTTTAGATAAACTGGAATAATGAGGTTTTGTTTGAAAGTAGAAGTTGTTGTGTCATCATTAATGTTTTCCTTTGGCAGGGACGAAACAACTTGTCTCACGAGAAGCTGCAGTTTGCTCACGCTCATCAAGAACTGAAGAAATTGGAAGATATAGTTCGGGATCTTAAGCCTACTGCAATTATCGGTATGTGTGCAGCAGGACACTGTTTCAGGGTTATACAGTTTAGATCAGATCCCCAGACACCATTTCTTTATACTGAGGATAATCAACAGCCAGAACATGTTACAATGCAGCCCCGCTATAACAACTTGAATTTATATAGTGCCGCAGAACAGTGTAGCGTCCCAGAACTCTTGAGAGTGGCAGAGCACGATGCGGAGCCTGGGAGAGAGGAAAGTCTTCAGGCACAACCTGAAGTTGGGGAAGGAAGGGGCAATCCTGTGTCTGGCCGAGTGTGTAAGTGAAAATATTGAGACATCCTGACCATTAGTTTGTATGAACAATAAGCCTGTGTTACCGGACACTCACTAAGAATCCAATCGGTGCATTATGTGCTCTAGATTTCACGATAACTTGCTATAGGCACATCCCAATATTGTGACATTTCCTGCTGGAGAGTGTCAGCAAAGTTTACGTTCTGTACTTGTATTGTCTGAAGAAGATATCAAGAGAAATTTAAAGCAGTCTCTGCAGTAAGATAAACAGTGTTTAAGATGTATTCTACGTTGTTTCTACATACTGTAGCATCTTCAAACCACTGGTATTCAAACTACATTTACTTACTCATATGGGTATTGTCCAAAGTCAATTAGCAAAGTTTTGTTAGATCTCAATTTCTCTTTCGACTACTTTTTGTTTGGAGCGTGAGTAGCATTCTTTGCAGAGCACTGCTGATTAACCTATCTAGCTATTTTTTCTAGGAGCCGCTGCTGTTCCTGGCGTGTTTACTGAACAGATCATAAAAGATATGGCTGCCTTCAATAAGCATCCTGTCATATTTGCTTTGAGCAACCCAACTAGCAAAGCAGAATGCACTGCTGAGCAGTGTTACCGTCTGACTGAGGTATTGTACCTAATATAATCACACTCCTTTTGTCATTTACATAGCTACTGTCAGTATGGTGTTGTATTAATAACGTAGAGAATATTCAAGTAAGTGACTATCATCACTTTTGCTTTTCATAAAATAATCCTTGCATTTGATGCAACCACATTATCACATCGAAACAAATCAAAGCGATTGCCAGTATTTGCTGTTAAGCGTAGTGACTGTGACTTGAGCTAACAATCTTTTGTCCCTAAACTGATGCCTTCTGTTGCCTACTGAGCCAAGCTGACATGTTTACTGGTGAGACCATACTGATCTATCCAGTTTCAATGGATGACACAGGAATGTACCAACGCTGTGGTGCCCACTCTTTCATAGTTTTATCACAGAAAAAAGATCCTTAAATATAATGATTAATGGTCAAGCTTGTGAAGTAGCTAATGACGATTGATATTCAGCATGGAAGAAGGTTGACATTTAAACTCTTAAGAGCATACCTGTTTGGAAAGTATTCACAAGGATTTGCTGTCGTACTGAAATGGATTTTCTTTCTTCAAAACTTATGGAGTTTGTACTGTAAATCTTTCATTCGCCGACTAGTTTACCCATTCAAGGAAACCACTTCAGAAGTGGTTATGTACAATGATTTATTCAGCTGTGCTGTAAAACCCACGATAGCATTCTAAACTTACACCAGTGATCATCATTCTTCTACTAATATTTAACTGAGAAAACAAATCAATTATAAGCCAAGATATATTTTTTAATTTAAAAACATGTGTGTTGTAATCCAAACCACCCTTTTAACATTAATTAATAATAATAATTGCATAATAATTAAAAGAAAACCCAAACATTGTTTGCAGTTCTACAGTATTTAAGCTTTTTTTTAATGGAATGCTGGTTAATAATAAAACTTAATAAAACACAAACATTCAACCACATTATAGTAACATAAACTGCACAGCAATTCAGTGCTCCAATTGGCAGGAGCCCACTGCATAACAATGGATTCAAAATTTATTGAAAATATTACAAGATGATAAAGTCGATCAGAAAGCTTGCTGCAATTAAGCAGATTCTGAAGTTGACTATGAAACTTTTTATTGAATATTCTTCAAAGATTGTTTTCTGTTTTATCAATGTTTTGATTCGTGTTACATAATTTATGATTACTTTGGTAAATTAGTGAAATAATTGAGATTAATGGAATGATGGAGAAACAATGTTTTCACTTGTAATTCAAAGCTCTTGAGTCCAAAAGCATTATTTTTTTTGCTGTGTACGTGATAGAACTTTTATCTCTTTAAATTCCTTCTAACAATTCCCACTTCTGTGCAACTTACTAGTAACAAAAGAAAGAGCATTACATATAATGTTTATTCAGATTTTTTTAATAATAATAATAATAATCCTTGCATTTGATATAGCGCTTTTCACGTCGGGAGGACGTCCCAAAGCGCTTCACAGAATAGACTGTAAAGTGAATTGACTGTATATTTGTGGGCGAACGCGGCAGCCAATTGCGCACAGCAATGTCCCACAAACAGTCAGGGATTGAAAATGACCAATTTATTATTGTTTTTGTTTTGGAGGGATTATTATTAGGCCGTGTGGAGTAAGGAAACTTGCCCAAGGTTTCGCCCTGCCTGGAATTGAACTCAGGTCTCTCACTTGCAAAGCGAGTGCTCTAACCACTGAGCTACAGGACTCCAAAAGTATGAGACTGATCATCCAAACAAATATCTTTAAAATTAATAAAACACTGTTTGAATCATCATCTTGTCTGTTCAGGAAGCCACTCAATAGCTTTTAAATTGAAATACAATAATTATGGTTATCAATTTATTTGTTTCTGTTCAAACTAGAGTTACATCTTGCAGAACTTAATTCTTTCACACAGTTGGTGTACCAACATTTCATTGATTGAGTTACTGCGTATCAAACAGGTTTATAGAAGAGGTAATTCTTGAGGAACTTTGGCAGTGGTAAATCATTGATATAGTTTAATCTTGTCACACCCAGACATCTTCGAATGAGAAGCCGACAAGCACTTTGAAGTATCCTTGGATTTGCTCTAGCCATTTGGAAGTAAAGTGCACAAGGATTATTCAAAATCAAATGGCTATTCCCAAGGGTTTCGTTGCAACTGAATAAACTCAAATCGGCTCCAAACTCCACCAACAACTTTGCAAATTCTTCCCTACAATTCATCTTCACTACTGCATCCAGAAGGCTTGTAGCAGAACTTGGTAGAGGACGCTCTCCATAGAAACTCTGCAATCTGTTGCGTTCATCTAGTCGCTTGCAGTTGAAGTTTGGGTTTGCACCACTCTGGAGAAGCAGTTTGAAACAATCTAGTTTGTTGTATGAAACACTAATATACAGTTTAAAGCATTTACTCGCAATAATTGGCAGCAAGGTTTTTGCAAGCATAACCATATGAATAGTCATGTAACTTCACAAGACTGCTGTTGTGGTAATGTGTATGCATTGTCATTAATGCAGATCCACCACCACATAGGTGTAAATTTTGGAAATTATTTCTCTGAAATGTAAATTTTTACCGAGTGGATGCTAAATTATCTGTCCTTTGGGTGAGACTTTTAACCAAGGTTCAGTCTGCATGTTCAGAGCAATATTAAAGATCCTATGCGACTATATGTTCGCCCACAAATATACAGTCAACTCACTTTACAGTATATTCTGTGAAGCGCTTTGGGACGTCCTCCCGACGTGAAAAGCGCTATATCAAATGCAAGGATTATTATTATTATTATTATATGAAAAGAGAAAGGAGTTTCCCTTAGTGTCCTGGTCAATAATCGGACAGATATATTTGTTCATTTACCTCTTAGCTGTTGTGGAAAATTTCTATGCACAAATTGGCTGCCACATTTGCCTACAATACACAATAACTTCACTTCAGAGTAAAATCCAGTGAAGCGCTTTGAGACATCTTGACAACGTGATAAAACACTATCAAATGCAAGCATTATTATTACTAACAATACTTTAGTTAGGAGTTAAAATTGGCTTCAACTGTGGAATTGAGATTCCTTAAAGTTTTATGACACTGTACTGGATCTCCTCAAGCAACTGGAAGAATATTATCAATGTAATATATATACACTTTGCACTTCATTTCATTGAAATACTGCTACAGGTACTTAACATTCAACATAACGGCACACATATTAATAAACCATGAACGGAAACTGACAAACTCCCCCAAATTTCCTCTTATTTGTTGAATGCCAGAGGACAATGGATGGAAGTAACTTATAGTTTTGATTATATTTTCCATTGTATTTTACCCCAGAATGGAATTTGAATTGAGGTACAATTGTTTTATATCCTCTGGCCAAGGGTTCACCTACCGTTTCATGCTACTCTTCATTTTGATAATAGAAATACAAATGACAGGCTTATTGATCCCACTCAAGACTGAGCTGTCTATCAAAGTGTTTCTTCTTGGTATTAGCCTGGCTCAGTTGAGTGTATTCTCATCTCTGAGTCAAAAGATTATGGACTCTGAACATCAGTTCTTCGGCTCGCAGTTTAGGCTGACTCTTCATTGCTGCACTGGAGGAGTGCTACATTGTTGTAAGTGCCATCCATCGGCTAATACATTAAACAGGTCCTGTCTGCCTTTTCAGGTGGACGTTAAAGGTCCTGTAGCACTATTCAAAAGCAAGAGGGAAATTGTCCCAATAGCCAGCAGTCCCCAAAATAAAATTGATCATTCACTTCATGGCTGTTTGTGGGACACTGTTCTCTGCAAATTGACTGTATTTGGCTACTAAATGCGTCGTCACTACACCTTACTACACCGTAAATTCTGTGAGGCATTTTGATTTTTTGATAATATATCGAATGCAAGGATTATTATTATTATTTAGTGTTAACGTGCAGGACTGTGAAGCAATGTTGATCATGGTTCAATCAAATGGCATTTGGTTAGAGCTGCATTGAAAGTCGGTTTAGCTTGGGCTGGGATCATATTAACAAGTAAAATTGCTGGACATCCACATACAAAATTTATTACTGAAATCAAAATTCACTGAAATCAGAGTTGCAACGCAGGGCTAAACTGCACTATTTCTAATGTGAACATGAGATTGGCAGGGAAATGCAGCACGTGATGTGATGATGATTACCAGTAATATTTTTTCCATCACATACCACACTTCCTCCCCATTGTTTAATGTTTCTTCCAACACATCCAGATGTGCTATTTCAGTTATTAAAAGTTATATTGCTTCTTTGAAGATTGTGATAAGTCAAGAGGCCATTCCCCGTCTGGTTTCAAGAAGGCTGAGATACAAAGCTATTCTGGGAAGGGTTTTGATTAGAATGTCATATGTCAGTGAGTAACTAGGCATCAATTTGATGGTATCTAGCAAATGGGGAGGTTAGGAAACATTTGTTCATGCACAGAGTAGTTGGGATATGGAATGCCCTGACGGGAGCACTGGCCTTATCAAGTCTTTGAGATGTCTCAAAGTGCTTCACAGGATACACTGTAAAGAGTAGTGACTGTATATTTTGTGGGCGAAATGTGGCAGCCAACTGCACACAGCAGTGTCCCACGAACAGTCGTTGATTGAGTGACCAATTTATTATTGTTTGTTTTGTTGGTGGAAGGTGAACTAGATGGACCGCAGTCTTCTTTCACCTAACAAATTGTTATGTCCTTAAGGCCTTGCTTCATGCCTCACTTGGCTTTGAGGCTGGAATGGGGAAGAGGAGAGAGCGAGCTTACCATGCCAGAGGGTGCCACATAGCCTGCCATTGAAAGCACAGTCTGGTAAGCTTGGTCCCACTGCTTGTCCAGCTATGACAAGCCTAATCATTAGAAACTAGAGTCAAAGAATTATACAACACAGAAGGAGGCCATTTGGCCCATCGTGTCTGTGCCAACTTTTTGAAAAGAACTATCCAAATCAATGCCACTCCGCCGTTCTCTCCCCATAGCCCTGCAAACTTGTCCTCCTCAAATAATTATCTACTTC